AAATTTAATGTGCCTAACTATTTAAGTACATCCAGAATAATACACAAGCACAAAGAAATGACCTCGAAAACCCATAAGTGGCGAGTAATTAGCATTGCAAAAGTAATTAAAATATTCTAAAAATCATTTGAACATTTTCTAAAAGCCATTTGAACAAGTTATAATCAAGATATCAAATTTTGGTTAACAGATCCTACAGCATATCCAGGAGTACTTATACTGAAATTTTTGAACAAAATCCATTTTTGGCCGAAAATGACAAAATTGTAAGTCTATGCTTCCTAAACGATTTTTAGCCAAAATACTTTTTCTCTCTGAACTAAAATTTAATGTGCCTAACTATTTAAGTACATCCAGAATAATACATAAGTACCAAGAAATGACCTCGAAAACCCATAAGTGGCGAGTAATTAGCATTGCAAATGTAATTAAAATATTCTAAAAAATCATTTGAACATTTTCTAAAAGCCATTTGAACAAGTTATAATCAAGATATCAAATTTTGGTTAACAGATCCTTAAGCAGCACATTCAGGAGTACCTATACTGAAATTTTGAACAAAATCCATTTTTTGGCCGAAATTACGAAAATTGTAAGTCTATAGCCTTAAAGGATTTTTGGCCAAAAATACGTTTTCTCTCTGAACTAAAATTTAATGTGCCTAACTATTTAATACATCCAGAATAATACACAAGCACCAAAAAATGACCTCGAAAACCCATAAGTGGCGAGTAATTAGCATTGCAAAAGTAATTAAAATATTCTAAAATTCATTTGAACATTTTCTAAAAGCCATTTGAACAAGTTATAATCAAGATATCAAATTTTGGTTAACAGATCCTTAAGCAGCACATTCAGGAGTACCTATACTGAAATTTTGAACAAAATCCATTTTTTGGCCGAAATTACGGAAATTGTAAGTCTATAGCCTTAAAGGATTTTTGGCCAAAATACGTTTTCTCTCTGAACTAAAATTTAATGTGCCTAACTATTTAAGTACATCCAGAATAATACACAAGCACCAAGAAATGACCTCGAAAACCCATAAGTGGCGAGTAATTACATTGCAAAAGTAATTAAAATATTCTAAAAATCATTTGAACACTTTCTAAAAGCCATTTGAACAAGTTTTAATCAAGATATCAAATTTTGGTTAACAGATCCTTAAGCAGCACATTCAGGAGTACCTATACTGAAATTTTGAACAAAATCCATTTTTTGGCAGAAAATGACAAAAATTGTAAGTCTAAAGCCTTAAAGGATTTTTGGCCAAAAATACGTTTTCTCTCTGAACTAAAATTTAATGTGCTTAACTATTTAAGTACATCCAGAATAATACACAAGCACCAAGAAATGACCTCGAAAACCAATAAGTGGCGAGTAATTAGCATTGCAAAAGTAATTAAAATATTCTAAAAATCATTTGAACATTTTCTAAAAGCCATTTGAACAAGTTATAATCAAGATATCAAATTTTGGTTAACAGATTCTTAAGCAACATGTTCAGGAGCAATTTATACTGAAATTTTAAACAAAAATCCATTTTTAATGAATGACAAAAATTGTGTGTCTAAAGCCCTAAATATTTTCACAAAAAATACGTTTTCTCTGAACTAAAATTTAATGTGCCTAACTATTTAAGCACATCCAGAATAATACACAAGCACCAAGAAATGACCTCGAAAACCCATAAGTGAAGTGAGTAATTAGCATTGTAAAAGTAATTAAATATTCTAAAAATCATTTGAACATTTTCTAAAGCCATTTGAACAAGTTATAATCAAGATATAAAATTTTGGTTAACAGATCCTTAAGCAGCACATTCAGGAGTACCTATACTGAAATTTTGAACAAAATCCATTTTTTGGCCGAAAATGACAAAAATTGTAAGTCTAAAGCCTTAAAGGATTTTTGGCCAAAAATACGTTTTCTCTCTGAACTAAAATTTAATGTGCCTAACTATTTAAGTACATCCAGAATAATTCACAAGCACCAAAAAATGACCTCGAAAACCCATAAGTGGCGAGTAATTAGCATTGCAAAAGTAATTAAAATATTCTAAAAATCATTTGAACATTTTCTAAAAGCCATTTGAACAAGTTATAATCAAGATATCAAATTTTGGTTAACAGATCCTTAAGCAGCACATTCAGGAGTACCTATACTGAAATTTGAACAAAATCCATTTTTTGGCCGAAATGACGAAAATTGTAAGTCTATAGCCTTAAAGGATTTTTGGCCAAAATACGTTTTCTCTCTGAACGAAAATTTAATGTGCCTAACTATTTAAGTACATCCAGAATAATACACAAGCACCAAGAAATGACCTCGAAAACCCATAAGTGGCGAGTAATTAGCATTGCAAAAGTAATTAAAATATTCTAAAATCATTTAAGAACATTTTCGAAAAGCCATTTGAAACGTTATAATCAAGGAGGATCAAATTCTTGGTTAACAGATCCTGGGCGTGCAATATTCAGGAGTACCTATACTGAAATTTTGAACAAAATCCATTTTTTGGCCGAAATGACGAAAATTGTAAGTCTATAGCCTTAAAGGATTTTTGGCCAAAATACGTTTTCTCTCTGAACAAAAATTTAATGTGCCTAACTATTTAAGTACATCCAGAATAATACAAAAGCACCAAGAAATGACCTCGAAAACCCATAAGTGGCGAGTAATTAGCATTGCAAAAGTAATTAAAATATTCTAAAAATCATTTGAACATTTTCTAAAAGCCATTTGAACAAGTTATAATCAAGATATCAATTTTTGGTTAACAGATCCTTAAGCAGCACATTCAGGAGTACCTATACTGAAATTTTTAACAAAATCCATTTTTGGCCGAAATGACGAAAATTGTAAGTCTATAGCCTTAAAGGATTTTTGGCCAAAAATACGTTTTCTCTCTGAACTAAAATTTAATGTGCCTAACTATTTAAGTACATCCAGAATAATACACAAGCACCAAGAAATGACCCTGAAACCTATATGTGCGGAAAGTAATTAAGTATTGCAAAAGTGAATAAAATATTCTAAAAAATCATTTGAACATTTTCTAAAAGCCATTTGAATAAGTTATAACAAGATATAAAATTTGGTTAACAGAATCCTACAGCAATATCTAGGGAGTACCTATATCAGAATTTCTTGAATGAAAAATCCATTTGGCTGGAAAATGACAAAATTGTAAGTCTAAAGCCTTAAAAGGATTTTTTAATAAAAAATACGTTTTCTCCGAACTAAAATTTAATGTGCCTAACTATTTAAGTACATCCAGAATAATACACAAGCACCAAGAAATGACCTCGAAAACCCATAAGTGGCGAGTAATTAGCATTGCAAAAGTAATTAAAATATTCTAAAAATCATTTGAACATTTTCTAAAAGCCATTTGAACAAGTTATAATCAAGATATCAAATTTTGGTTAACAGATCCTTAAGCAGCACATTCAGGAGTACCTATACTGAAATTTTGAACAAAATCCATTTTTTGGCCGAAAATGACAAAAATTGTAAGTCTATTGCCTTAAAGGAATTTTGGCCAAAAATACTTTTTCTCTCTGAACTAAAATTTAATGTGCCTAACTATTTAAATACATCCAGAATAATACACAATCACCAAGAAATGACCTCGAAAACCCATAAGTGGCGAGTAATTAGCATTGCAAAAGTAATCAAAATATTTTAAAAATCATTTGAACATTTTCTAAAAGCCATTTGAACAAGTTATAATCAAGATATCAAATTTTGGTTAACAGATCCTTAAGCAGCACATTCAGGAGTACCTATACTGAATTTTTGAACAAAATCCATTTTTTGGCCGAAAGTGACAAAAATTGTAAGTCTTTTGCCTTGAAGGATTATTGGCCAAAATACTTTTTCTCTCTAAACTAAAATTTAATGTGCCTAAGTATTTAAGTACATCCAGAATAATACACAAGCACCAAGAAATGACCTCGAAAACCCATAAGTGGCGAGTAATTAGCATTGCAAAAGTAATTAAAATATTCTAAAAATCATTTGAACATTTTCAAAAGCCATTTGAAGTTATAATCAAGATATCAAATTTGGTTCACAGATCCTGCTAAGCACATTCAGAGCAATCATACTGAAATTTTTGAACAAAATCCATTTTTGGCCGAAAATGACAAAATTGTAAGTCTAGCGCTTTAAAGGATTTTACAAAAATAATGCTCTCTCTGAACTAAAATTTAATGTGCCTAACTATTTGCTATTGAATCCAGAGTAATACACAAGCACCAAGAAATGACCTCGAAAACCCATAAGTGGCGAGTAATTAGCATTGCAAAACTAATTAAAATATTCTAAAAATCATTTGAACATTTTCTAAAAGCCATTTGAACAAGTTATAATCAAGATATCAAATTTTGGTTAACAGATCCTTAAGCAGCACATTCAGGAGTACCTAAACTATCAACTACATATCGTCTTGTTTTTGTCTGAACTTCTCATTAGCAACAACAAAAATATCGAATTATGTCCTGTACCATTAATTGACCTCGAAATTGTCACAACAGCAATAAAGAGCAAGCGAAATACAACCGTACCACCAGCACTAATTAACATCAAGGATTCTTTAGTATTAGAATCCTTGACTTCGTATAGGTATATGATGAATGTATAGAAACTGTAAATAAATGTTATTTATATAAAACGTATTACGTGTAAATAATTAAAATATGCTCTTTTGCGTTTTATTACTTTTAGCTTTAGGGTTTATGTTGCCTTATTATACTTTAGTTATTGCGGCATACATGACCAATATTTAGCCTTGGTGTGTGAAGGTAAACACATCGTTCCATTCCATCGCATGACCAAACTGGCCATGACTTAAGCTGGAGCTAAATTTGCGTGGTAATTAAAATTTAGCATCCTGGCTATTGCCTTTAGAATATTATATTAGGTGCAATCTTCGAGAGTTGCTGAGATGATTGTATCTACAATTTATATGTGAAGAAAATATCTCAATTCCTTGGTATAATTCGAACAAATATTCCAAGTGTTGTGTAAACTAATTTTAAGAGGATGTTGATGCATACAGCAGTCCGGAGTGTTTTATTAACATATCGTGACTTCAGTTTTACATTATTGAATGAAAAACGCCGTTTGTATCACAAAATAAGGGTATGTTGAGTTGTTGACCACTAAAAGATCAACAAACCCTTAGTTGAACGTCTTGGCAACCTACACATTTATCCTCTTCGCCACTGATTGGCTCACTTTTCACTTGTGAAACTTATCGGAATGAGGGTGATGTGGCTTTATTACTTTACAGCTGAAATTTTGGTAATACACTGTAGTTTAGAACAAGGGTCCAGGTTAACCAGCTACCAATGAAAAAATATAGAAAACATTTCTTACCTCAAGAATAAAGGAATTGCAAGATTCGTATTCGGGTTTTTGGTATTGTGTATTTTATTTTCGGTGATCTGGGGAATCTTAAGAATTTAACCCCAACCAGAATGGGAGATCAGGCCCGGTTATGTTAGATATACAGTAGTTCCTGGGTTCTGTGGCTAGGTTAGGTTAGGTTTGGTATCTAAATACAAGGATGACCGAAACTAAAATGTTAAAAAATTTTCCCATAGTTTTCCCATAAATGAAGAAGCAGCTGCCCACCCACTTCAGAATGATACCATGTTTACATGTAACTGTTGACTCTGAATGCTAAACAATGTTTTCCAGCTAGCAACTAACCAACCTTCTTTCCTTTCCCTACAAACCTACCTACTACCTGTATAACCAAAAAGAACAAGAAATAATACAGTACTGTAATAATATTAACTTCCATCTTATGATAGGTAAGTTTTGTTAGTTCATCTTAACTATGATAAATTGCATTGTAATATAATATTGTAATAATAATATTCCTGGAACACAGTACTGCGGCTGCTGGGAAAGCACCGCATCCATGAGTATCACCAAACTTTTTTTGACAAAATTTTTAAATACCCAGTATTATTACTGTATTATATGTACTGTTTTGGGTTATTATTCTCAATGTAAAATTTTCCAGAAGTTGCTGCTGTTGCTTCTTAGTGAGTATGAAATTTAATACCATCATTAATACAGGTACAGTATTATGAAAAATTTGGAATCCTCCACATGTAAACAAAGATAGCGTCCTCCTTGTACGAGTGACACGGATGGTGTTTATTTATGAGAAACAAGGAAAAATGGAATATGAAATGTGCTATTCCTCCACCCAATTTTCCTTATTCTTGAGGCAAGAAATAAGTTTTCTTCTACAGATATTACTGAAGGCTTACTGCATATGGCAAAATCCCAAATTGGGTAATTTTATGACTAAACTTGGACAAGGCGAATTCATTACCCTCCCTTCCCCCAGCAGATAGTGAAGTTGGTTGGAAGTAAACTTTGAATTCTAGATTGACAGCTTGTAACTTAGCTAAGCTAAAAGTACAATGTGCACAAGTTGATGTGATATTATGACTTATTGCTTTCTACCTTAAATGGTGGTTGTTTCGATAGATCCCAATTAGGGACTCTTTTATAAAGAGAAAGCATAAGAAAGGAATGAAAGAATTAGCCCTAACGTCTAATATCTGTGGGATATCAGCTCACAGAATTGATGGACATTCAGTAATACCTGTACATGGGTTACATAGTCCATGCTTAGTCATGAAATGGGATTCTAGAATCATTCCTCCATTTTTTAAGGGATTTTTATTTTAAATTAAATAATTTTTCAACAGAATCATCTTTCTGAAGAAGACTGGAAACAGGTTGTGGGCCTCTCAGGCCTGCCTATTGTTCACCATGAAGGATATGTCTGTCCCCTGCCACCCAATCATCGCTTCAAGATGATGAAATTCCATCACCTGTATCAAATTCTTTTAAGTGATGGTGTTATCAACAAAAATAAACAAGTACTGTATGTTTACAACAGTTTAGAACTATAGAAATGTTTTTTTTTATTAATAAATCTTGTTTGAAAAGTGAAATATCAGGTTATTACAAATGATCTTCCAGATTTTAAATATTTATTTTGAAAAAATAAATAATAAAGCTACAGTAAAAAACAAGATACTGTAGACAGTACTCTATTTTCCTCCACATATTTTGTAGCTTATCATACTGAACTTTCTTAACAGCCTTATGTACGCTTTTCCTCAAAATTTTGAAAGTTTCTGGCATTGGTGGAACAAAATCTTTATATTTAACACAGTCCCCAAGGAAAAAATAGCTTTCTCAGTTTCTTCCATAATAAATACAGTTTGATAATCCGCCTTTTCTGTAATAATTACCACAGGAATGGCCCCTTATGTGAATTAGAAATTTTGGAGGGAGTATTCATCATCTTCAGTGACTGCCTACTTTTTATTTGTACTGTACCTGTATTCAAATAACTTTGACTTGAACTAGCCTGGCAGATGCTTCATATAATATGAACCTGATATAGGTTATGGTTAACAAATCTAATATCCTCTTTGTTTCTCCTGCTAGGTAATACAACCTCGTCAAGTAAGTCAGGAGGTTGCTTCATCTGTTCATTCAGAATGCTATGTTAAGAAATTTTTCAACGGCCTCACATCACAGAAAGAGCAAAGAGCAACAGGATTCGAATGGACACCAGGGTTAGCCAGCCGAGTTAGATACGAGACAGGTAAGATTAATTTTATGAAAATTTTGTAGTACTGTATACATAACTTATTAAAGAATGTGTATTTATTGGTAAAGTTATATTGGGCATGTTTTAAAGTACAGCTGTAATGAGGCATTTATTATTCAGAAGAAGATACTGTTTCTGCAGCACAGTTTGTTATTCGCCGATGTTACTAAAAAAAATAGATTCGAAACGATGTGGCAGCAACATCGGAACAGAAGACGAGCATCTCAATAGAAATATATAGTAAGTCCTCGATATATGCGAGGGATGCGTACCTGAAAACCCTCACATAAACCAAAATCGCATATATTGAATACTTAGTTAAATGGGGAAAAAATAGGATGCATTCCATACCTAAAATGAAAATGTTCCAGACCCATTTTCAAGACAAATAAACCATAAAACAAATCAATACAATATTATTTTTTAAATAATTGAGAAAGCAAGTGTACTTAACAAAAGCAGATACAGTAAGCCCTTGATAACTCGGCACATATGGTGCTCTGGCCTTTCCAAGTTATCCTAAATTCTGACTTATCGAGGCACTTCCCCACTCCTACAAAAATACAACAATAAAAAATCAGTGAGCCATAAATGTGTACATGTAATTACTACTGTAAATGTAAAAAGTAACACTTTCCAGCACTGCAGCAAAAGAATGAAGCATCATAGTAGGAGACACAGATACATGGTAGGTGACACAGATACATGGTAGGTGACACATGTATGGTAGGTGACAACATGTATGGTAGGTGACACAGATACATGGTAGGGTGATACAGGTGGCCAGATATGCCGAGATTTTCCCAGATAATTTTATAAATCTTGGCATTTCTTGAGTTATACTAATATATTCCAAGACCATATCCATGCCGAGTTATATGAAATTCCAAGTTATCGAGATTTTACTGTACATCAGCTTGGGTAGACGAGATGGAGGTGGTGGCAGAGGTTTTACATAGTGGGTGATGGTGTTGGAGTGACATATGCAGAGTCGTCGGGGTTGGAATCCATATCAGGGAGTGTGACATCTCGCATAAGCTGAATTTTGCTCAGATTAATTGAATTCCTGGTACAAATACGGTCTTCGCATTCTGTATAAGTAAATTCACATATGCTGAACTCACATATATCGAGGACTTACTTTCATATGCTGACACCTGTTATATTTTAGTGTATTTTGTTCTACGTCTTTTAATTCTGGTGACAAAATTGAAAAGATCTGATGATGTCATTACAAATTATACTACAGGTATTTACAAATGTGTATTCTGTAAGATTTTTACAAACAAGGCTTAACACACAAATAAGTGTCCTCCTTGAGGCCAGGCTCAAAGGGGAAAATAAAATGCTGTGGACTAGTCTACAAGTTTTTCAGATAATAGAAAACTTTCTTTTAAAAAATAGGTAATACTGTAGTTGAGAGAAAATACATAAGAAGGTAGAGTTCCAAAGTTTGATAGTAAATTCAAATAAGCAGGCTTCACAGTGACCTTCCCTCAAGTTGCCAACTGCCTCAATAACTGACCCAATAAATTTTCTTCAATCCCTTCTATCCACTACTTACTGATGTCGTTCTATAGTCCTCTGACAGATAAGTTGTACCTATATAGTATTTGCTAATACTTCACTCATATTATTTTTATGACAGGTGGGACCCTCTTAGCAGCTAAGTTGAGCTTGGAGCGAGGGCTAGCATGCAGTACTGGAGGAGGTACTCATCATGCTTTTCCTGATCATGGCTCGGGCTACTGTCTTATCAACGACCTGGCTGTTGCTGCACATAATCTAATAGCATGTGGTTTAGCAACTAAAATATTGATTGTTGATTTGGATGTTCATCAGGTATGTATGCTGTTAAATTGAGAAGCTTTATAATAATTAAACAGTTTCTATAATGAGGAGATCTTATGTTATTAAATATTTAACATAAGTATAAAGGAATGAGTGCAAAATGGGAAAATAAAATTCCTCATTGCATAATAGATAATACTGTATTGTTTTATGAATTTCAGTTGAGGCATATAATAATACTATAAAAGAAATAACACCATGAACAATCTTATTTCTTTTCTCTTTTTTTGATGGGCTGCTGAAGAGAAAAATGTGGTTGAAGAACACTAACACAATAAAAACTATTTGAGGTGCAACTCTTGGTTTGCAGGGCATTGTGGCTATTGAGGTTATATAACTCAATATTATTTTGGGCAACTTGTGTACTGTACAGACATGTTTATAAATCAGACAACTCGGGGGTTCTCTGAACCCGACATGTGTGAGTGGGACTGAATTTCAGAAATCCACAAAATGGCAACTCGCCTTACATCCATAGCCCCTAAAAAGTAGGTACCTGTACTTATAGGGGTCAGTTACCAGTTAGGCAAGAACAGAGGTCTTGCCTGCCTTGCTAACACATGTGCTCAGAAACCTGTTTCATGGTTATAAAACTGAGCAGTAAGACCAACCCTATTTATTTGTAGTCATTTGGTCATGCTGATCAGATGTCTTTCTGGCTTGCTCCATGATTTTGGCAACCAAATACTGTACATGTAGTTCCTTTATGATACTTGTTACTGCCGTATGCGCTGCCAGTAAAGCCCTCTCATGCATCACGACGCACCATGATCTCAGGGAGGAAGGCGGCAGTGCCAACATACAATTCTTGTGCGAAACAAATGACAAACGAAGGTTTTTGACAAAGGCCCATGAGGCATACTGTTATTCACCAATCATATTGTAAT